TGGCTAAGCACAGACTCTCACCTTGGAATCTGGAGGCTTTGGGTCCCAGAGGTGACAGAGGACTCAGCTGCTCTGGGTCCTGCTGCACTGGAAGAGCCGCTGTCAGCCTCTGCTTCCTGGAACTCAGGGGCTCCTCATGCTGGGCAGCTTGGGCCCTCAAGGTTAGTGCTTTCTGGAAGCCACAGTGGCCTCTTCCCGCATAGATTCTTATGTTTGATAAATATCCTGTGAGTCACAATGTATTGAGTTAATTGACATTTAACTAAAATCAGCAGCTTTGCCATCTTTATATGTTTCTGGCCAATTTTTACTTCCCTGAATTGCCTGTTCATATCCTCCATTTATTTTCATCTTGGAATGTTTGACTCTTTGTTTGTGATTTATCTGTTATATGTGTTTTAACTTGTATAGATAGGTGTTATATTCGAGGAATAGTAAGCCTATATGTGTGATTTAACATTACTATCAACTATGGCACTGCCTTACTTCTGTTTTCCTTTAAAGTTGTTTTAAATCATTAGAAGAGGTGTATGGAGATTTCAGTGATAACATTGTTCAGGGATCACGCCCATCACTGAAGTTTTACTTTGTTTCTAAAATGAATGCTTGCTTATGCTGGAGAATGCTTACTGGGAGACTTAGGTGATGGTTTTTTTGACCAAGAAAGACAGGAGTGGTGTTGTCCCCTGGACCAAGTTAATCCTACTGTTTTAGGGGGGTTTTGAAAAATCCTTGTGATTTGATTTTTCTACTCTAACAATATTTACATAAATTTTGTATTTTTTTTGCACTGGTATTGATTATGGTCTGTCATAGTGTGCCTAGATTTAGAAGAGGGCATTGCATCCTCTTTTTTTTTGTCATGCGAAAGGATTAAATGTTTTTATATTAAATTAATGGGAGGGATGGAACCGCAGGCTTCTGAGGAAAGAGAGAAGGAATGAGACGTGCAGATCTAGTGTGGTCACGTGGAATAACAATCATTGTTTCAAACTCCCTTCTACTGAAACGTTGAATTGCTCCCCATATCTGTATGTAGAAGAGAGATGTTGTGCTTTGTTTTGCAAGAAGTGGACATGTGGGCACTCACATCAGAGAGGACACAAATTCAGTAAGTCCCTTTAGAGTATGGGTTCTCCATGATCAAGTCTAAAATTGGAAGTAGACATCCATTATTAAAAGCTGAAATGAAAGTGAAAACAACCAGATGAATCTTTTTAAGGGGCTCTGAGGTGAAGAGAATTAGATACTGAAACCAGTCATTCATAAATAGTTCTGTTTTATAACAGAAAGTGGCTAGCTGTTGTTATATTTCTAACACCATGTACGTTTTGGTGGAAAATTAACTTAAACTAGTTGAAAGCAAGCAGCATGCCATGTCTTCAAATCACAAGTGATGCTGAGTCTGGATGTACAGCAAAAGCAGGGAGCCTGTCATGTCTCCCAAAATCAAATAGAAAGTTCAATCTTTGTACACATTTCTAATTATTGAATAGTTGCATTAGCAAAAGATGAAACTACAGAATTTTGCAGCAAAATGTAGGTAAAATATTCGGAGTATTTGCGAAATAATATTGACATGTGGACAGATGACTTACATTTCTTGTGTCCTTGTGTAATGCTTGAGACAGTTGAACTTTTATTTCCTGGATATCTTTAAAATTGGAATAACAAATTGAAATATATATGTATAAATCAATGTGGTTTTATTCATTTTTTTTACAAATATTATCTTTGGCATAACATATGTATAAATCTTAAAGAGGTAAAAATCACTTGCAAACAAATTTTGAAATGTGAAGCCAAATTGGGAAAAGTCATTTTATCACAGGAGGAGCAAGTACTCCTTGCTGGAATAAGCTGGAGGGGTCCCATCTATTAGGTAGATCAGCTTCAGGCTTAGAAACACTACTCCCTCTTCCCCTTCTTTCCTGTTTTGGCAAACTTCCAGCAACAAAATAGAACACATTTTGTGATGACAAGAATAGCAGTTGCCACACAGGCCAGCAGGAACCCAATAAAATGTCCTCAAGTGTATCATCTGTAACCAATTTGGTAAGACTAAGTTTACTGCTCTTTAATTCCAGGCATGATTCGAACAACTTAGAAGTCTTTTAATTGGGGGAGGTGAAAGGAAAGCTGTCACTAAATCCTGTGACTTATGGAACAGGACACATGTGAAGACACCCAAGTGCTGAAAACAAGGCTGTTCCCAGAAAAGCTACTTGAACTGAGTAATAGCTTCTGTCATCCACCAAGTTAGAGTAGAAAAGCCTCTTATAAAACGAAGTTGAGGTAGTCACAGGTATTGTAGAATCATTCCCAGGCTCTTCTCTATGTTCTGGAAGATTCTTCAAAAAATATAATTTAGAATATGGCAATCCACATCTTTCTCAGGTCAGACTATACCAGCCACCTCAGTCCTTCAGAAATGTGCCATCGGACTGCTGGCCAAAATGGAGGCTTAGGTGGAAACATTGTGCCTTCTCTCACAACCAAGTTTAAAGACAACAAAGTTTTAGTAACAAAAACGCACCAAAACACAGAAAATTGAATTATACGGAAGTCTGACAACATTAAACCTTTCAGCCAGACTGGTAAGAAGGGCGGAGCCAGTGGGGGAGTGGGGTCAGTCAGGAAAGATGCGCCTGAACAACCTAGGCATGACTCAGGCACGACCCAGGTGTGACCCAGGCCCGCAGGCAGCCGTGGGCAGGTCCCAGGTATGGGGTGGCAATGGGAGGACCCAGTGAGGGCACAAGGCGGCAGGCTGACTGAGGTCACAAATTTGCGTGCAGATAAACCAGGTGAAGGAGCTAGCAGTGAGACAGACCATGCAGGCCCCAGAGGCAGAAACAACTTTGGTTGCTCTGGTGCCTGCCTTCCATTGGTACCACCCCCAATCTGATACAGAAGGGGGTAAGAGAGTTTTTTCTCACTTATCCAATTAACTTGCTAGACTTGCTGGTGCTCAGCTAAGAACTTCCTCCTGCTGACACTTGCCCAGGGATAGCAGAACATGCCCTTGGCTACCCAGGAAACATGGCCCACTCAGAGCGACCTGGCACTGCCTTGCATGGCCCTGGGAAGTTCTCAATCTGCTCTGGCAGTCCCTGCTTCTTGCCTGCTCCCAGTGGTCTGGACAGCATGTCTATCATGTCAATAGTGGTAGACTTCGTTTTGGTCCTTGAAGTTCTTGCCTTGGGCAACAGGAGAGGCTGGTAGGCCAGCACCAAGGCATCCTTAAGCAAGTAGTGAGAGGGCCCACTGTCCAAGCAATCAGCCAGCATGTCTGGGCAGTGACCTACATCTAAGTGCAGAAGTGTGGGGCATGCATTCCAGGCAGAACTGAAAAGGCACAGTGAGGTGGGGCCATGAAGACCCAGTCCTGGGGGACCTGTGCCTTGCCATGCACACTGAGAGGACCAGTTTTCTGCTTTCTAGCATGTCATAGTCCACGAGGCCAGATGGCCTGCACAGGCAGCTGCCAGGTGTTAAACAATGGACAGCTGAGCCCACAGCAGCCAATGGCTATCAAGCACCCAATTACCAGGCTCACCTGTGGTTGCAGGCCCAGCTCAGGCAGCACTAAGTGCTTCTGAGTGCAGAATCCCATCTTGGAACTTGGAGGTTTTGGGTTGCAGAGGTGGCACAGGACCCAGCTGCTCTGGGTCCTGCTGTGCTGGAAGAGCCACTGCCAGCCTCTGCTTCCAGGTGCTCAGGGGCTCCTCAGGCTGGGCAGCTTGGGCCCTCAAGGTGGGTGCTTTCTGGAAGCCAGAGGAGGCCTCTTACACATGGATTCTTACATTTGATAAATATCTTGTGGGCAACAATCTATTGACTCATGTTATATTTTACTAAAAACCAGTGCCTTCGCTATCTTTTATATGTTATTGGTCATTTTTATTTCTGTGAATTTCTTGTTCATATTTATTTTCATCTTGGAATGTTTGTCTTTTCTATTGTGATTTGTAAGATTTATCACTATACATTGATTACCAACCTTTCTCTGTTTTGAGTGTTACAAATTAAATTTGAGGAAACTTAATCCTATATGTATGATTTAACAGTATAATCTATTGCGGCACTATGTTACTTCCGTTTTTCTTTCTAGACCTGTTTCAAATGTCTCCAAGAGTTACATGGAAGATCAGTGATAACGTTGTCCTATAAGCCTCCCATCACTGAAGTTTTAATTTGTTGTAATAATAAATTCATGCCTTAGCTTGGAGAATGTTTACCATGAGACTTTAATGTTGTTCTTCTTGTCCAAAAAAGAGGAATGATTTGCTGGCCTGGACCATATCACACATGGTGCCTCTGTTTCAGGAGGGCTTTGATAATCCTTGTGGTTTGATGTTCCTATTTCAGTAAAATTTACATGATTTTTGTATTCTCTGCATTGCTGATGGTTATGGTCAGTCATAGTGTGCCTGTGTTTAAAAGAAAGAGGTGATTGTACTGTTTTTTTTGCCATGCCAAAATATTGAATGTTTTTATACTAGTTTAGTGAGAGGGATGCAACAGCTTCTGAGGAAAGAGAGAAGACATGAGAGATGCAGATCTAGTGTGGTTATGTGGAGTAGTAATCATTATTTCAAACTCCCTTCAACTGACACATTGAATATTCCCCGTTTCTGTAAGTAGCTAAGTGATGCTGTGCCTTGTTTTGCACGAAGAGGACATATGTGCATACACACAGTTGTGGAGAGGACACAGATTCGGTAAGTCCCTTTAGAAATGGGTTCTACACTGTCAAAGGCTGAAATGAGAGTGAAAAATATCAGGTGACTTTTCAAGGGGCTCAGAAGTAAAGAGAATTAGCTGCTGAACCAAAGTCATCCAAAACGGGAAGGAGTTAGCTGTTATATTTCTAAATCCATGTACATTTTGATGGTAAATTACCTTAAATTGGAGGAAAGCAAATGACCTGTCATGGCTTTATGTCAGAAATAATGCTGGGTCTGAACATACAGCAAAAACAAGGAGCATTACTCGTCTCCCAAAAATCAAATGGAAGCTTTAATCAATTTACACAGTTCTAACTATTGAATAGTTTCTTTAGCAAAAGATAAAGCTACAGAATTTTGCACCAAAGTATTGTTAAAATATTCTGAGTATTTACAAAATACTATTGACATGTGTACAGACTACGTACAGTCTTGTGTCCTTGTGTAATGCTTGAGACACACATAGGCTTATTTTTTTTGGTTTAACATTGAATATGAATAGAATTTAAATAGAAATTCACATAGATGTATTATTGTTTTGTATTTACCAGTTTTTATCTTTGGGATGACATATTTATAACTCTTAAACAGGTAGAAATCACTTGCAAACCAATTTTGAAATGTGAAGCCAAATTGTGCAAAGTCATTTTGTCCCAGGGGGAGCAAGTACTTCTTGCTGGAATAAGCTGGAGGGGTCCCATCTGTTAGGTAGATCAGCTTCAGGCTCAGAAACACTACTCTCTCTTCCCCTTCTTTCCTGTTTTGGCAAACTTCCAGCAACAAAATAGAACACATTTTGTGATGACAAGAATAGCAGTTGCCACACAGGCCAGCAGGAACCCAATCACGTCCAAAGAGTGGTACTGGACCCAGTTGAGGTCATAGAAGGCTGGCCGCAGGTGTTTGGCTCCTTTGTGGCGCATGACAAACTCGATCCAGAAGACAGCTCGATCCAGGGGCTTCACTGGCTGCTCGTGATGAATTCTAGACAATTTCAAAGCATTCTCCTTGTATCTGAAGGAAAAACACAAAGGGACTAACATTGAAAGGAATAAATATGCCTGAATGAGTTATTCCCATGAAAGGTTCCTGAAGTGTCATACATGTGTTTCAAATAAATATCATAGAATTGCAGAAGAGGTATATTTTTATTTGGGTCTTCACAGATGGTTTCACTTTAATGTTGAAATTTTCTGATAACAAATATTTTACAAAGTAAAGATGGGAGCTAAGGCAGGAGAGTCACCTCTTTTTAGCAGAGAAATCATAGGAGACATTCTAATGGCTACTATCAGTGTGAATGAAAAAGGGTCCACATGGTGGGCTGCACAAGTTTAGTAACACAAGGTCACCACACAGGATGTTCTGATCATAAATTTCTAACTGGGTGGGTCCTGGTGAGTAGTCTCATCTCAGGCCAGTGGCTTCCTTAGTAAAAGGTAAATCTGTACCTTGAACGAGCCAGTCCATTGTTCTTATGCAGGGAGGATAACATACCTTTGAAATGCCTGAGTAATTTCTCAAAGGCATGACTTTGGGCAGCAGAGCACAATGGCCTCAAACATCTCTTGTTGCCCATATACCAGCTGCACTTACTATACATGTAAAATGTTAACTGTTCTGTCCCTACCAATGTGAAAGGTGTATTCTGTACCTGCCAATGTAGAAAGTATGTATCTCTCCATTTCACTTTTTATCCAATCCTAGTGGGTAGGGCGACCTACCCACCCACCTCTACTTTGTTTTCATGCCTCTTTAGTCCAATACTAGTGAATTTCATGTAACTCTCCTTACATTCTTTCCTTTGATTCCAAATGCATGAAAAGAACTGTCATACTGCCATTCTCAGAGCATTTTCTCATTTGTTGATTTTGCTTCTGGGCTGGTCCTTGCTTATTAGCTCAAATAAACTTTTATAAAATTGTTTTGATAGTTTTGGACTTTCTTTCCTAGACATGAATCAGATGGCAAAATGAAATTTTAAGATGAGGCCTTTCAAGTTTTTTTAGTGTAATAATATCATGGTGTGAGATTGCCTCCTTACTGGTGGTCCGTGGGCTTCCATGTTTCTCTTCATAAATCTATTGTCTGTTTCCCACCCAGAATGATAGTGTTTTGAAACACTTAAGATTATTACATTCTCTTGCTCAAAGTTTCCATTTGAGCTTCCAAATGGCTTCTGAACCCATTTAGAATAAATTACAAACCTTTTTTTTGGCCCAAGGACCCTACATTGTGCTACTAAGAAAATAGTGCACCCTAAATAGCATTACTTCTGCTGAAAGACCTGATGTGAAAACTAGATTTAATACCTGATTTATTTGAACTTTAACTTCCCCAAGAACTAAAATCATTATCAACCAGTTTAGAACTTTCTGATCACTACCAATGAGTTAATCTGTCACTTGGCACCTCTGTATCTTCCATTGGGAGAAGAGAATCTGCATGATAAACCCCTGCCATTCCTTTCCTGGAAGATGATGCCCAGTTTAAAAATAACATTGGTTTTTTGTGGGTTTTTTTTGCCCTGGCTGGTGTGGTGTAGTGGATTAAGTGCTGGCCTATGAACCAAAAAATTACCAGTTAGATTCCTTTCAGGACACGTGTGTTACGTGCTAAATATCCAGTTGGGGGCACCTGAGAGGCAGCTGCATATTGAGATTTCTCTACCTTTCTTTTTCACTCCTTTCCCCTGTCTTTAAAAATACATAAATGAAATATATTAAAAATAATCATGTTTTTCATTTTGCTAATAATTCCCCAAACATATTCTTCTCCTTATACAAACCTCCTATTTTGTACAAAACCTCTGAGAACCTTTCTAGTTGCTAGCTGTTTTCTTCCCCATTCATGAATTGCTTAAAACAGTCCATGAGATCCTCAAATTTACTTGGTTGAATTTTTCAGCATGACAAATGGACAGACCCTTGGGAACCACCTGTCCTATCTCTTTTTCCTATGCACACTGTCTTGCTGGCACCTGTGCCTTCTGGCTGTTCACTGAAGCTGCCAAGTGTGTTTCCACCTCAGCACTTGTGAACTTTCCTTCTCCTCTGTCCCCCTTTTAGAGCAGGCTTCCCTGTAACACCCAAGGCTACATTTACCTTCTGACAGAGGCCTTGGGGTCAATGTCAAGTGTCAAAGAAGCTTTTACTGACCACGCTAATAGCACCCAGGCCATTTCTTCTGTGGTTTTGATTTTTTCACTTTTTGATTCATAGATCTTTAAATACATGCACATTGGTTTATGTGATTTCAAATCCACTTATTTATGAGTGAAGTCACTTTAATTCACTTGTGTATTACAAAGACCACAATATTTGCTTTGATGCAAGAATGAAGAAATTTCTATTGGTATGTCACTCTACATACATTTGTTCATAAACAGAGGCTCTTGCCCCCAATCTGGGGGCTTATTGATGAGAAGGTGTGGTGAAGCGACCATGATAAAGAAATATCCAGGCTATAAATACTGAGAGTTTGTTAGCACTATTTGAGAGATTTGATTTGGGCAGGGTGACTCTTCACTAACCAAAACTCTCTCCAGAGACCCTTGGGCATTCCTTCCTGCCTTGGCTTCATAGGTTCCTTAGACAGTGGTGATAATCCTCAAAGCTGCCCTTGAAAGAGATCAGCCAGCCTTCCAACCTGTTGGAGCATCATGCTCCCTAGCAACATGCTGTAGCAACAGCAGACTTATTTTTCTACTGACAGTTGGAAATCTGTTCTTGGTTGGTCATTGATTCTTTCTTAAATTTGGCTTCATTCCTTCATCTCTGCTTGCCTGTAACAATAGTGTGATTAACCAGTCATGAGATGTCATTTCCTTATCTGGAGTATTAAGAGAATGTGTGTTATATACATTCTGAAAAAAGATGGAAATCAGTGTTTGTGTATAAGTTGTCAACCCCCTAAACAAAACTAAATACAGGATAACAAAACAATGTATTTTATAAAGTATACTCTTAATTTCATATAAGAAACATAAGAAAAAATGTACATATCCTAAATAGACAGCTCAAAATTTCATAGTACCTAGTCAATTGTCATGAAGTGAATACCTCAATGTACCTACTAGCTTGATACTGACATAGGGTACCCAAGCTGCTAGACACTCCTTATGTTCTTGAACTTTCAGTTAGGAATCCCTTCCACAAATTAACTAGTGTCATTACTGTAAACACCATAGATTAATTTTTCTTATTCATTAGAATCCTATTGTAATACTAGATTTTTCTCTTTTCTCTAGAACTTGTTAGTTGATCCATTGCTGTATAGTACCCAATATATGACAGTACCACAGATTATAGCTTTACACTGTTCAGTGGGCATTTGGATTTTTAATATTTTTTTAGTTATTTTTACTAATGTTGATGCAAACATTTTTGTACATGTCCTTTGGTTTACATATTTATACATTTCTGTGCTGTATATACTGAAATGGGGCACTATTGAGAAGAAGGTATTGCTTAATTTTACAGATTTAGAGATATTTTAGTTTAGGTTTCTCTTTCATTTGTATCTGCTTGGACATATACTCTACAATTAAAAAAATTTCATGTAGTGAGTCATGGATTTTCCCTGTATGGATGTTCAAATATATTTCTATTCTTTTTGCTGTTAAATATATGTGTTCTCCACTGTTGTAAATATGTCAAAGCAGTTGACTTTAAAATTGTAAAATCTTTCATTTTACTTATTTATTCTGTCACCTTTTTTATATTATAGAAAATGATCTTTGAAAATAATATTATGGCCCTGGCTGTTGTAGGTCAGTGGATTGAGCGTGAGCCTGGGGATCACAAATCACGGTTCGATTCCCAGTCAGGGCACATGCCTGGGTTGCAGGCCAGTTCCAAGCAGGAGACTCACAAGAGGCAACCATACACTGATATTTCTCTCCTTCTCTCCTTCCCTTCCCCTCTAAAGATAAATAAATAAATCTAAAAAAAGAAACAATTAAAAAAAGAAAATATTATTATGATTAAAGGCTTATATTTTGGTCTTTCTTTTTGTCCACTTTTAATTTTTTTAAATTTGGGATTTATTAGTATGTATTAGCAATTAATAACTTGTATTGTTTTGAAAGACTAATCTACTCATTATTATGACTATTTTTATCTTTATTTTTAGAAGTGCTTTGGTCTACTGTTTGTGATAATAGTAGGGCTAACTTTTTTTTATGGTCACTGTTGAAATAGACCATTTTTCTACTTTTTAAAAATCTTGTACAGCCCTGGCTGGCATAGCTCAGTGGATTGAGCGTGGGCCTGCCAACCACACAATTGCGGTTCGATTCCCAGTCAGGGCACATGCCTGGGTTTCAGGCCAGTTCCCTGCAGGTCAGTTTCCAGCAGGGGATGCACAAAAAGGCAACCACACATTGATGTTTCTCTCCTCCTCTCCTTCCCTTCCTCTCTCAAAGATAAATAAATAAAATAAATAAAATGACTAATCTATAGAGACTGAAAGATGATTAATGGTTCCTTGGGAGAGAGGGAAGGGAGTGACTTCTAAGGCACATGACCTGTCTTTTGGGGATGATGAAAATATCCTAAATTTATATAATGGCAATAGATTCATAGCTCTGTAAAAATATTATATATATCTATATTTTATAATATAAACAGGTGAATTTTATAGTATGTGAGTAATAGCTCATAAAATCTGTTAAAATGATGATAAGGAAATTAATTTTTGAGTGCAGAGAAATTTATAGTATCAGAAATGTTAGATATTCAGCCCTGGCTGGTGTAGCTCAGTGATTTGAGCGTGGGCTGCGAACCAAGGGATCGCCAGTTCGATTCCAAGTTAGGGAACATGCCTGGGTTGCAGGCCAGGTCCCTGGTACAGGGCACACGAGAGGCAACCACACATTGATAATCCTCTTTCTCTCATTCTCCTTCTCTTTGCCTCTCTCTAAAAATGAATAAATAGAAAATCTTTAAAAAAATAGATAAGTAAACTTATAAAAAAAGAAATGTTAGATATTGAATTGAAAGATGTTATAATTTTTTTCTAGTTTATCATTTTTTCTGTGTGTTCTGTGATATGTTTTTAAAAAATGTGTTCTTACGATTATCTATTATTTTATATTATTGGAGGAGAAAACTGTTTCAATAGTTGGCTATTCATTAAAAAATGAAGTTAAAATGCAACTTTGAAATAAAAGAGTGTTTAAAAATAAAAGTAGGTTTAACATGGGTTAAATTACAATAATGATGTCAAAAATTAGCCTCTTCAAAATGGGATGAAACTCATATGCACTTAAAGAAACTTTCTATTAATACTATTAAAAAATGTGATACTTACAAAGGGTCATTGATGACTGTCTTCAATGCATTGAGCAAATCTGCACTAGACATTGTGTGGATGTCCAATCTGACAGCAGCTCCCTTTTTCTTCATGCGAATAATGTTATCAGGTTGATCCGCAAACAAAGGGAGGCCCACCATTGGGATCCCGTGGTAGATGGCCTCATAGATGCCATTGGCTCCACCATGAGTTACAAAAGCTTTGGTTTTTGGATGACCTAGAATTGGGTGAATTTAAGCAAATGATGAATTATGAACCTTGGAATAAAATGAGTGTTTGAAAATAAAGGTGTATTTAGGAACAGATTAGCATGCACTTCAGACTGTATTAAAATGTCTTTCAGAATTCAAAGGAAGAGGCCCCTACATCTTCTGGAGAGATAGTGAAAGCTTACATAGAAGATTGGTATGTTTCTGATGACTTGAAATGAATACAAGTTGCCAGTGGACAAATTGAAAGAGAATAATCTGGATAAAAATTTTAAAAAGTGCACACAGAAAAGTGGGGAGGCATGTTAGAACATATTCTCTCAGTAAAGCGGTGAAGTCACTGAGTCAGAGATGTAGGGTGTCGAGGCAGCACCCAATGTGATGGCGGTGGCACAGGGTCAGAGGAGGAAAGTCTGTTTCTGTTGCATGTTATAAAAAACATGTTATTACTTCAGATGGAGATTTTGAGTTTTTTTTCCGAGAAAATGGAGAGTCACTGGAAACAAAAGATGGGCTGATGTTTTCCTCACTTGTATACCCTTAAGTGGATTAAAGGTTGGGTGTAAGGAGAAAGTTAGGAGACAGTGTGATAACCCAGAAATTGTGGAGACATTCTGTGTCAGAGGAAATTGCACATGAAATAAAGGTATTTTCGTTGTGGCCATAAGGAATGTGATTGTGTAGAATAAGATGCCAACTGTTATGTCTTATTCATTTCCCCTAGGACTGTGAAATCCATATAAGAAAGTTAATTCTTATTTCTGAGGCTATCATAAGAAATGTTCAAAACATTTGTTTCCTAGTGAACTGTTCATCACTCTGGATGACCTGATGCTGATTTCAGTGTTTTCCAGAATCTTACCAAGAAGGTCATTCTGGGGGATCCATTTATACAGGCGAGTATTTGGCCCTAATGTGTCTGGGTTTTTGCCTTCATATCTCCATATAACCTGTTAGGGTAAAGAAAATAAACTTTCCATGAGTTGAATTTCAAAATTATGGCATGTTAAATCTTAAATAGATTCAGAGACATCTAGTTCAACCCCTCTATCTTACAGAGAAGGAAATGAGGACAAGGTATGTTAGATAATGAGAACCATTAGAAGACTGACACAAGAGGAGGAGATACTCCTATTACATGTACTTATTTTTATATTCAGTCAGTTATGAGTGCAATCATGATGTCAGGGGTTAGACAAATGAGATTATCAATCACCTTTTCAAGCAAATTGCTAATTGTCTGCACACTTGTTTTAACTATTATAGCAGCTCTCATCTTCCAGATTTCATATTACCTTGTTTATTTCTTTTTGAATCATGGAGTGTGGTTTACTTATTTTCACTAGTTTCATGAGTTATTTTATTAGAGTCTTATATAATTTGATTTAAAAAATCAATGTGTTAAACTATTTGTGAAAATTAAATCATTTTGATGTTTAATAATTTATTAATAGTAATAAATAATTTCTGCTTTAAGAGTATGTTTAGCTTCTTTTAAAGAACTAATTATGAATCACTATTTCCTCTAAGAAAAATTTCATGTGGTAATTTTTACATGAATTTTGTGTTATCACTCTAGCTGGGATTGAAATTTCTCTAAAATGTAGAAGAGCTTTTGAAAAACCCACTGGCACTTCAAATATGATGATGATGTTAAGTTTTATGCAGACGACTGTTAACACCTCACAATGTGCGGCGATGCACAGACAGCATTGACTAATGTGGTTAATTAATCATGAATGGCCAAGGAGCTTCTAAGTCTGGTACCTGAATTAGATTGTTTTGAAATTTCTAAGAAAGCCTCATAAAGTGGATCTAGTTTAGAACTAGTTAATACCTATTTGTTATGTGTGTGTTACAGTAACTTCAGGTCTCAGCAAATTAGCATAGGTGAGAGGGAGAAAGCTCCATTATTTAAAAACTGAAAGCACTTCACAAATACCCAGAGAGTTTGAGTATTTGATGTACTAGAATAATTTACTCCTGTATATTTTGGAGAAGTAGGAACATGTGAACCTGTCTTACGCTAGGCTTGCTTTTGGCTCTTTTTTATGTTCCCTTGTTTACTTCTTTAATCAGGGGGTTCTTATTCTGATGGGTTGTTTCTGGGGCACAGTTTATAAAACACAGGGCCACCTTGAGGGCTGGACTGACCTGTATCCTTTCTTTTATTGTCTCCTGCTTTAGAATTTACCAAGGCCCAGGTCACCAGGGAGTTTTTCTTTTTCTTTTTCTTTTTTTTACAGGCTGTTTTTTCTCATTCTCTAACTCACTGTGGCTGACTTGGGTATCTGGATGCACTGCTGAGCCCTGGACATCCTTTCTCTGAATTTCACCTCGAAGACCACGTTGAATAGGTCAGTTACAAAATTCAGAGAAAGGAAGGGAGGCCTGTATACTTGCCAAGCCTAACCTGCATGATGCCTTTCAGACTATTATCATCCCTAGTTTATGTTACTGTTAAAATGCAACTGCTTTCTGAGGACATCTGTAGTATACACAGTTCCTTAGGGTTCCTGAAAAAAAAAAAAGGAGCAATGGACAGGGTAGAATTTGGTGATATCTGGACCTGCTTACAGCGCTGTTATAGTACCAGACCTCACACTGTACCTCTGACATACACTTCTCTGTGGTCACCATGTTAATGCCAATGTTATTGCCAAACAGAACACTGTCTGCATCACTTTAGCTCCTGCCATGGGCACTTCATAAACTGCTGTCTGAGATAAAGTGGAGCTGTCATAAGAGTTTTCCTTTCACAGAGGAATTTCTGCAATCAGACACTTTAGAGAGTTTAACACAGTCACTGTTTTTCTACTCTAAGGTACTTTGTCTAACCTTTTGAGGAATCTGGGCCAGGGCTGAGGCAATCATATTGGCCTTTTCTTCAGTCAGGTTAGTGACCATTGACCCCAGGCTAAACACCACAATACCATCTTCTCCAGAGCTCTGGACAAACTGTTCCATTTCCTGTGAAGGAAGGAAGAGTCCCATCAGAAAAGAGCAACAGCAGAGTGAACACCAGTGAACGCACTGCTACGAATAATGAAAGAGAGAAAATTAGTGATTGTAAGGAGTTGTTAGTGTAGTGCCTTTTTTTATAAATTTGTTAAAATACACATAATATAGTTACCATCTTGACTATCTATGAGTGTACAGTTGAGTACTTTGTATATTTTTGTTGTGCAACCCATCTCTAGAGATTTTTCATCTTGAAAATCACAACTATCCTTATACTGTAATTCTCAATTTGTTTCCATTTTACCTGTCTCAGACAAATGTCATTCTGCTTTCTCTGTTCATATGCATGTGACCAGGCCAGGTACTGCATATCTGAAATCTATGGTATTTGTCTTTTTGTGATTAGTCCTTTTTCCTTAGTAGAATGTCCTTAATTTCATTCATGTTGTAGCATGCATTAGAATTTCCTTCTATTTTAAGGTTGAGAATATTCTCTTCTGTGTGCGTAGCCCATTTTGCTTATTGTTTCATCTAGTGATGGGCACTTGATTTCTTTCCATATTTTGGGTCTTATGAATAATGCGGCTATGAAGTTAGGTGTTTAAATGTCTCATCAGGATCCTAATTTTAATTCTTTTGAATATATAACCACAAGTGGCATTTCTGGACGAAATAGTTATATGTTTAACTTTTGGGTAACTTCCATTTTTTTCATCAGTGGCTGTTTATCACAGACCTAATCTCTTGTTTCTTTTGGGAGTATACAGTTGATATGGACTGATTTCCTTTATTATGTATACTGTACAAATGTGTGCATGCAGGAAATGAAGTACCGCAAATACACAGTACTGAGCAGGAAATGCTTTTGGACTGTATCACATCTCATTCATACTGTCATTAATTACTTATATAGATTTTTGGGAGGAGGCCAAAGAGGAGGATATTAACTCACCTTTAATTATTTGTTGTAGTTGTACTAAATCACTTGCATTTGTTTCAAGCAGAGCTTTTTTAAGAATTAGTTTTGTTTTGTCATTATTATTTTATTTCTTCAACTATTAGCACAAAAAAAAGTGTGTTATGATTTTACCTTAACTGTTGTCAGCACTTCCCGGGTTCTCCCCCTAAATCAGTCTTTAAAGGCTGGAGGTTCAAGGTTACTATCATTCATGAGTCTGGTTTTACTGTTTAGAATTTCCATGATATAGTACTAAGATCCATAAATATACTTAAACAAATAAGTATGATTCATAAATATACTTATATAAATAACTACTTATTTGAGCGCCCATAGTTCTGTCTTGATTATGTATGACACCTTTGCTTGGAAATCATATTGTAAAATGATGTTCTAGGAGAACGAGCTATGTGTAACTAGCTGTGAGGAGCCCTCATCACCACCTCACTGAGTATGCCCCATGGAATATGTATGCCCCAGGAATCGTATGCCCCATGGTGGGAGAGGTACAGCTGGGCCTTCTGCAGCAGAGATCTGGTCACCCTCTTGAGTGGCTCAGATCAAACTATACAGTTGGTATTTGAACAACATTGGTTTGAACTGTGTGGGTCCACCTATGCATGGATTTTTTTCAAGAAATATTCTAAATATATTTTCCTTATATTTCCTTAACATTTTCTTTTCTTTAGCCTTATTGCAAATACATGTACTGAATATATGTTAATCTACAATGTTTAATGTTTCCTTTCATTAGCTCTCTGCCAATAGCCTTCTTCTATCATGCTGTGGAAGATGGCTATTGGCCATCTGTATAGTACTGTAGTGATATAGTACAGCCTGTCTTTAGAGATTAATCACTAACATGGAGTGGTGGTCATTCTGTGGCATCCTCATAAAAATAACACATGCTTGTCAATAGGACATCTGGAAAAGCATGAAAAAGATTAAAAAAGAAGCAAGATTCACCCTTACTCTTCATCCATGTATATCTTCTGTGTGGAATTTGTATGCAATTTTGCACATTTTGATTTTTCCCCCTGTATAATTTCACAATATTATCCCATGAAGTCAAAGTCTAGAAGCATTTTTTTAAAAGATTTTATTTATTTACTTTCAGAGAAAAGAGAAGGGAGGGAGAAAGAGATGGAGAGAAATATCAGTGTGTGGTTGCCTCTTGTGTCCCCAACTGGGGACCTGACCCACAACCCGGGCATGTGCCCTGACTAAGAATTGAAATGGTGACCCTTTGGTTCACAGGCCAGCATTCAGTCCACTGAGTTATACCAGCCAGGGCTCTACAGGCATTTTCATGAATCTTGTTGCAACTTACCTAATTCTTATTTCTTAAAAGGAAAGTAGAGAAATTACCTGAGATCCTAATAATTAATGGAAAAGAAGTAGTTTGGAGAAAAAATTTACATGATAAAGAATGAGGGCAGGGTTCACTAATCATTGACTAGAATTCAAGTCTTGTTTTTGCAGCTTTGTAACAAGAGCTACTGTTACTAATTATTATGGTTACACTTCTATTCATCCTTCTCCTTGTCCTGATCTCCTCATCCTCTTTTTCCATTCCTACTGACATTGCCACTGTCTCTTAATGTGAAGGAGAACATTTTTCAGAATAGATTGAATAGAACTTTCACTAATCTTACCTCAGCCTTTCCCCTTGGGAAAGTTTCAACATATAGCTTAAATAATTTGCAATCAAAGGAAATATTACACCAACCATTGAATAAGATCTTTTTTAGGTTGCTGCTTTCAAGTGCAGGCGAGGATCTCTTAACAGTCTTTCACTGTTTAGTAGAGGAGGATTGCTTTCTACTTATGTCATAAAAATATGGCATCAGTTTAAAACATACAGATTCTTTCTCTCATAAGAATACATCCTACAGTATATATGAACAGAATTCTTTGCATTTTTAAACTATGAACAGTGTTCAGATAGGAGTGGTAGAAACTGTTTGGACCTTATTATATATGTAGAATTTCTGGTTGCTATTTTATGTACAGTGTACATTTTCTCTTTAATCATTTTGGCAGGCAGCTATGATGGTAAAAAACATATTCACCAGGGGATATTTACTGAAATTTCATAAGGGCTTTGTTTACGGCAGAATACACCTGCTGTAATATGCAAATCTCCTTTATGCTCTAGGAATCTCAAATAAGTAGCGGTTTAAATGCTGTACTGAGAGCAAATAATTTTTGGGTTTGGCTCCAGTGTTGTTGGGGTGCCCATTCATATTGTTGAGGAATGGTCTTCACTTTAAACTAGAGGACTGGTGAAGATCCTCAACATTTATAAAAATTCATTAGTATTTCAATTTACTCATCTGAATGCCAAATTATTTACACATTTACTTTTAAGTACTTCACAGGATATGTTCTCTATGACTTTGGTAGAATGTATAATCTTTATCTATTGGACAACAGTTGCTATTAAATAAGGAATCATAGGCACATATATATTAGGTTATTAATAATATTTTTACAGTAATGAAAACAACAATAGTAACAGTAGTTTACATTACTTCTGTCTCACTATGTGCCAAAGATATTTTACATATTTTATATATCAAATATTCTTGCCATTGAAAAGAAATATGAGGTTGGTATTATAAGTGATGGTATTATTATATCTTTATTTTTTAATGATTTTATTTATTTATTTTTAGAGAGGAGAATGGAGAGAAAAAGAGAGGGAAATATCAATGTATGGTTGACTCTTGAGCACCCTCTAACAGGGACCTGGCCCACAACCCAGGCGTGTGCCCCGAGAGGAAATGGAACCAGCAACCCCTTGGTTTGCAGGCTGGAACTCATACCACTGAGCTACACCAGCCAGGGCATGTTGTCATAGCTTTAATGTCTAGTTTTACATTGTTGTCTGAACTCCTTCAACAAACTCCTATTTCTTTGTCTTTCCACTCTGGTCCCTGTGCAATTCCATCCAGTGACTGCTTCTTAGGGCTTTCTTAAAAAAAAAGAAATCTGATCATATATCTGCCTTTTTATTCCCTTTTCTTCTTTTCATTGGTTCACAAATACTTTCATTAGATGTTTCAAAATCTTTATAATTACTTATCTTTCACTTCACCACCACCATCTGCCTCCTTTTTCAGATTCTTCCTCATACACTGAACTCAGACTTCTTGGAAACTATCAGTGTTATTTTTCCTGCTTTACCTTTTGTGTCTTCCTCTCTCCCCATTCCTTCCTCCTGTTACCGCACATCCTTCAGGTCTCACTTACTTGTCAATGACAGGGATCCCTTTCGATGATCCCTGCTGGATGTTTTCCAGCTTGGTGGTCTTTCCTTATTATACTACTCTTCACACAAATTTTCTTACTTACAATCTGTTTTTCCGAGTAGAATGACAGGCATCTATGGGTAGAAATTGCATCTATACCATTTCTCTGTCTACCTAGCTCTTATCTCTGGATGGTGCTAATCATCAAAAAAAAATTTTCCTTGTATGAATGATTTCTAATTTTATGTGCTGAAGACAGAAAGCCTCAATTTAACTGACCGAATTTCCAAAATCTCCCAAGTATGATTATTTATTCTGTAATGTTAATAATATTCAGACTCTTTAAATAATATAAAACATTTTTTTTAAAGTAACTGAGTTTATTATTTAAAAAACGTTGCCTTCTCTAGGAATTACCTTGTATTAGGACTCCATTTATAGGCCACTCTTAGCTGCAAGTGTGAGACAAGTGGTTTCTTTTTAATAGTTCATTTATAATTTTATTTTATTTCCATTACTATTTATCCTCTTATCCCTGTTCCACTTATACACCCTCCTAGCTCTGCAATCACCACAGTGTTATCCATGTCTATGAGTTGTTTATATTTTGGCTCAATTCCCCCCAAACACCGAATCGCTCCCCCTGCCACAGAGCTGTCAGCCTTCTCTCTGTATATGAGTCTGTGTCTACATTGCTTGTTACTTCAGTTTGTATATTAGGATCCACATATAAGAAAAAGTATGTAGTACTTGTCTTACTGTGACTGACTTATTCCCCTTAGCATAATGTTCTGCAG